GGTCGGGCCGAAGGCCCGACCATCGCCGCCGGCAGGCCAAGCAGGCCCGGCCCCTGCCGAACGGAGTTGCCGGCGCAGCGAAGTGGAGCTGGCAACTCCGTTTGGCGGAAGGGCGGGCCTGCTTGTTTATTATTCTAGTATGTAAGCCAGCTAATATGGAGGGATTGCCAGAATTTCTGTCAGAGAAGTCTTTATCTTTAATGAAGCCTGACAGGTAATCTTGCCATAAATAAGCAAGGAAATGGAACATCTCCAGATTGCACTCAAGTAAAAAGCACATGAAACATTCCCATATATCTTTAATTGAAACAGTATTCACTTCCCTGCTCTGACTGACTAAAGCATGCTGGTTCGAAGTCCGAGGCCTCTGAACTGGATGATTCCCACGACTTCTTTTGGGCATATTGAGGAGCTGTTGGGGCAGCCGCATACAATGATCGGTCCTCCTGAGATATTAACAAATGGCAGCATTAGGGCACAGAACGTGTCACATATTTTCCGGCAAACACCAAAACTAATCCTTCTTATAAACACTCAGTCTATCTACAGTTTTCGAGGTGGATTCAGACACTCACAGCCCCATAACCATTACCCGGGTGCCGATTATGTGGGAGATCGTCATTTCCGCGAGAACATTCTCAATGAAATCCATGAAGCTAGATTTGTTTTATTTCACAATATTCTGTATGAATATCGGAGAGACAATCGGTGAGCTATCATAAATGTACCTTCTTAAGATTTACCTCAAATTTCCATGGGACAGTTAATAATTTAGTTGAAGAAATATAACTTTTCTACATGTGTGGATTGAAATCAAAATGTCTCAAATACTTTTTCTTGAATTGGGAAGCCTGGTTCATACGGTCTATTTGTTGCCCTTTTTAAAGTTAGCAGTCTTATTTTCTCACAGATCTGTATTCTATTACATTCTGATACTCATATTCTGTTTCATCATTTGTTAAGGTTCACCAGAAGAGATCGATCACGGATGACCATGAGACGGCTCCGAGGGGCAATGTGGAGGAAGAGAATGCAGAGTTTTCCTGCTATACCACACTCCCTAACAGAATTGACTCAAATCCTTTTGCAACAGAACTATCGAGAGAAAGTTACTTCCACAATTGACACAAATGACAATTTGTATGCAGGGTCATGCACAGCAACAGAAGGATCTCATCATGTTTTGTTTGAATCGCAGCGGATGCTAGATTTCTTGCCTCGACTGAAAGTCATCCAATCTGATGGCACCTTTAGAGCTAGGCCTCTTCGTCCCCAATCGAGTCAATGTTTTGTGCTTGTGACACAATGGCGCCATACTGTAAGTATGCCTTTACCGCAAGTCTTATGTTAAATAAGAGTTTTACAGAGTTTACTTATTATCGAGCCAAACTATATTTTTTATGTTTTAAGGTTGTTCCAGTGGCCTGGATCCTCATGGAGCGTAGAACTCTAAGCCCTTATAGAGCAGTTTTTAATAGGTAAAACCAAGTCTGTCCAACTTTTGACCTTGAACGCGTTATCACAGACTGGGAATATAGTCAACAGAAAGCCTGGCAGGAAGCTTTTCCACGTATGTCTTTTATACTTTCTCTCCCTTCAGAACTGTTCATAATTGTCATGTTGTTATCCATTCAAGCTCATTTCTTTCGATTCAGGTGCCGTAGTCCAGGGGTGCTTGTAGCATTTGTGCCGAGCATTCATTAAGAAGGCCAAAAAGTTGAATATATGCCGCTTCAGACATGCATATCCTACAATTATTGACTATGTAAGAAAAGCATGTGCTATAACACTACTTCCTGTCAGATACTTCAGGGTTGGACTAGGCGATATCATGCAAGAGGCCAGGGAAGAGGACATACTGATCGCTTACATCCTAAGGAACTTCTTCAATTATGTGGAAGAAAGATGGATTGGGAATATTGCAAGGAGAAGGTGGATGCAGCTTTGGCAGAGTACTGAGAGGACTAACAAGCTGGGCCCGCTCTTCCGCCAAACCAAGTTGCCAGCTCCGCTTCGCTCCACCGGCAACTCGGTTCGTCAGGGAGGGGGCCCAGCTTGGCCTGCCGGCGGCGTCTGGGACGGGCATGGTGTAATACATCTTCTATCCGAAAACGGGCCTTCGGCCCGTTGGAGTGATGGCTCGCTTTGGACCATCTTTTTGCCAGGTACCTTTTCTGTCTACTTCGTAATCAAAACTCAACAAACGAAGTATTCTTTTCATACGCTGAACATCTTCGGCTGTGTGTGCCGCAGTTTGTAGAATACATGCAAGTCATGCCAAAACCCTTCTAAGTTATTGATGTTAGCTTATGAATCAAATAACACACCTATGAAAAGATACATAAGACTAGCCATAAAAGAAGTTAAATATACTTCCAGGCATACTCTGAATGACTCCGAACGTGTTCAAACACCAAATAAATGTTTTTTTGGTGGTTTTTTTTTGTGCTTTTTTGCATGGAAGTGTACACGTTTTATTAATGATGTCCCACCATAAAATAAGCCCACTCTTCTGCTTAGAAGAAAATTTTGAACCAACGGCATACTTCTCAGACAGAAGTGTACTTCTGAAAAAGTAAAAATATTTCTGTTTTGGCCAGTTTCGTAAGAAAAACTTCCTTGTGTAAGTAAACAGGACAAAACTTTAGCCCAAGAGGCTCTACTTTCACGAGTTACCCCTAAGAAGACCATAAAATGTTTTCTAAAATTAATGTATTTAATTTTAAGCCACTTCTGTGGGTAAAACTCCTTCTAGCGCGTAAACGGTGAGAGATAGAGCCAAACGGACAAAATTTTAGCCAGGAGGACTCTACTTTCACAAGTTACCCGTAGGAGACAATCAAATATTTACTAAAATTTATATTTTTATTTTTGGGCCACTTTCGTGAGAGAAACTCGCTTTAGCGCCTAAACGGTGAGAGATAGAGCCAAACGGACGAAATTTTCGCCCTTAGGGCTCTACTTTAACGAGTTACCCCTTCGGAGACCATAAAATATCTATATTCAATATTTTCTTCCCACTTCTTGGACCAACCCCTATTTCATTGTTACCCCCTCAGACCCACTCAGGGGTGGTTGCCAGGATTTTCACCAACCGTTTCGTTGACCACAAGTGACAACAATGATATCCTGAAAATTTCAAACCTGTAGCCCACGTCCTTCTTGGGAAACGGACAGACAGACAGACAGACGAACACAGAGGCGATGGCATAAGCCCGCTTAAGGCCGAATCACACTAGCGGTTCTCGGGGCGGTTGACGGGTGCGGGTGAGGGTGCGGGTGGCGGTTGAGCCGATCACACTGCGCGGTTGCGGTTGCGACTACCGCGCTCGGCAGCGCCCTCTACCCGTCGTCGGGAACGTTCCCGATCCGTTTTGGCCGGTTAGCAGAGGGCTGCGAAGTTGTTTGTTTTGGTAATTTTGAAAATAGACATGGATAGGTTATATCTTCGGCAGTGGCAGAGGAGGAGAATTATTTCAGCATGTCTTCTCCTTATCATTGCTCATTTCCAAGACAATTTACCTCAGCGAAATATTTGGGTTCATCATTGGGTTGCTAGGAGAAAGAAACAAGGTTGTCATCACAATTTATTTCTAGAATTACAACTAGAAGATCCGGAGAGGTTCCGAAGGTGTGTTGATCAACATACTTTTTCGTGGTTATTTTTAATATTTTAAGTGGAGTGATTGAATTTTAAATTATTTACCAGATGTTTACGAATGGATGTTGCTATGTTCCAAGACCTTGTGGAGAAGGTAACTCCAATCATTCGGAAACAGAACACTCATTTGAGAGAGAGCATTTCCCCTGCAGAAAGACTCTCTGTGACTCTGAGGCATCTTGCAACAGGTACGGTTTACTGTTGCATTTGTGAAATAAAAATAATTACTTCATATCACTTTCAGTCTGATTTTTTTTTTCTTTATCTACTGCTGCAGGTGAAAGCCAGGAGTCACTTAGCTGCAGTTTCCGAATTGGCCAGAGCACCATTTCAGGAATTATTAAGGAAACTGTCAAAGCTATCCACACAGTCCTTGCACCAGATTATCTGAAATTTCCCCAAAGTGAGGAAGAATGGAAGGTAGTAGCGCAAGATTATGAAGACAGGTGGAATTTTCCAAACTGTATTGGTGCCATGGATGGCAAACATGTTACCATAAGCCCCCCACTTAAATCAGGCTCCATGTATTACAACTATAAAAAAGATTTTAGTATTGTGCTTATGGCCGTTGTTGATGCTCAACTAAGATTTATTTATGTGGATGTGGGCACAAATGGCCGTGCCTCTGACAGAGGAATATGGAACAAGTGCTCATTAAAGAAGGGGTTAGAAAATAATACCCTGGCTGTACCAAAACCTTGCACATTAAATGGCACTCAACAGAATTTTCCATATGTTTTGTTGGGCGATGAAGGCTTTACATTATCTGAACAGCTGATGCTGCCCTATCCCAAAGATTCAGTAGGAAACAGGAAGGACCGAAGAATATTTAATTATAGGTTGGTACAAAGTATACCATAACAATACAATTAATTTAGTGCCTTTCACTATTATAATTTTGCTTCACATTTTTTTTTGTAGACTGAGCAGAGCGAGAAGATGTTCTGAAAATGCCTTTGGGGTAATGGCAGCACGTTTTCAGATTCTGAGGGCTCCAATAAGGTATGACCCTGATGATGTGCGGGACATTGTCATGTCCATTGTTTGCCTGCACAACTGGCTCAGGACAAACACAGTGGGACGCGCAATGTACAGCCCTCCAGCCATGTTAGATACTGAAGATGAAATGGGAGGCACTTTTCGATTGGGAGACTACCGTCTGGAGCCAGCACATGCACTTGTTCGATTTGTCAATCAAGGGGGAAACCGCCATGCAGATGCTGCACTTGTACTGCGGGACAGGTTTTGTGCTTATTTCAACACCATTGGGAGAGTACCATGGCAAGATGATATGATAGACCATCAGAGATTGTGATATAAAACAAAGATTTATTTTTCATAATATACTTAAGTACAGTGAGGTAGTAACAAATGAATAATACAATTGAAGTAAAAAACATGTCATGCA